CAGAATGTCGGTCCTTATAACAGCTTGGAGTTGTCATGCTCACTGAAAGGTCACACTGGCGGTGGCATGGGCGCTGGATCGCTTAATTCCCTATAATATGGTTGAGTTGGGCGATGCTGGTGTTTTTTTTTTGTTTTGTTTTTTTTCGTTTTTATAAAAAACGTTGCCCCACTTTAGGATTTTCTCCTGTGTTGTGGCATTTACAAACATACAATGTCACTTACACATGACACCCAGACCCGAAACAACAATTTGTGGATCTCACAAAGTGTTGTTTCGTGCGGGAATCGAACCCGCGACACGTTGCACGGCAGCCAGTTGCCCAGCCACCGCACCAACCGTGCAGTCTTGTTCGTGGTGTGCGTGTCATGTTCGTGAACGGGCGCCGCCTATTGGGACTGGTCATCTCCAGGCTGTCTAAATATGTTGTCCTTGAGGTTCACTTCTTTTTCTAATTCTTTGCCTCCTAACCATTACTGTTACACTGTTCTCACATATCTGAACCGACTAAATGATGTAACAAAGAAATGTAAAACTGATTGAAAGAGTAACCATGGAGTTTCTTGCTCGTTCTTCTCCATCGGAATCCACACTTTGGAACGAGCGAATAGCTTCACTAGAGGACAGACGGACAGATTGACGAGCATAAATTTAATCCTATTGAAATATATTTTCATTTTCTTTTTTGCTTGACGTTCAAAAGTGGCCAGTGTGGCCTAATTGAAATAAATGATTTTTGACTTTGACTTTGACTTGATATTGACGTCTAGTTCACTTGCGATTCTAAATTTAAAATTGATTCAGATGGTTCTTGATACGCATTTTCAATTTGAGTATATGTATAATTATATACGCAGAATTTTATCGCAACCGTTGCAGTACCTAGCATGTATGTATGAGAATGCTGAACGAGTCTCTCAACCTTCGTAGTTTAGTTCGGAATAAGCAATGGATAGTCCGGTGATCCGGTATTTATCGTTGTACTGAACTGTATTATACTTAAAAAAGACAAGTACTGCGGCCACTGCAAAATGGAGATGTCAAGATTGCTGACATGAATGACGTGTTTGTGTGTATATAGGGTATTGTTGAGTGGCTCACTTTGGCCGCGAGTGCGCGCGAGGAGCGGCGCGGAGTGCGGCGAAGCGCCGAGCGCGTTGTGCGCCTGCAGCGTGACGCGGTAGAGCGCGCCGCACGCGAGCCGCGCCAGCCGCAGCGACGTGTCCGCCGCCGGCACCAGCCGCGCCCGCGCGCGCCCCGCCCGCTCGCCGCGGCTCCACCATACTGTGTACCCTGTTTAACGGATTACAATGAACACAAAAATACCTTCGACTCATCTAAAGTTACCTACACGGCGTGCATGGTGCGTCTCTTCACACACGGAGAAGGTTAGATCATTAATCACCTCACTTGCTCAAGACGAATTTGATGATTTAAAACTTATAATTAGGAATTATAAATCTAGGTTCCTTCACGATGTTTTCCTTCATCGTATGTCGTAAGTGGTCGTAGGTATAGAAAACCAACATTGAGAGTATAAAGTATATGTTAGTATACCTGTATACCAAGTTACTATGACTCGGAAAATGTTTCATTTATTTTATTCATTAACAATTAAAACATTGTCATTGAATTTATACAACAAAAATTCAACATGCATTAGTTAGCCATAACAATTAAAAATAAAATTAAAGTTGAATGTCATTATAACATCAAATTTTACAAATTAAATTTATTATAATCGTTTATCAATAATAGAAGAATAAAACATAAAAAAATGTCATCAACAATGTCAACACGATACAGACACTTATTCAACAAGAACTGTTTAAGCTTATTGTGAAACTCGCTTTTATATCAAAGACCTTTTATTTCTGTAGGCAGTCTATTAGACAGTTTTAATGACTTGTGGTCCCTACCACATGTCATTAAAACTGTTACTATGCTTTGCAACATTCAGATGAGTCACTTGCTGTAACTGGAGATCCTTCCTTCTTTTACTCTCCCTTCAGGTCCTTTCTTCTTCAGTCTCATATTCAAAAATGTACTTTGATAAATGAGTAAGCAAAACCAAAACGTACAAACTTGGGACTGTCAATATATTTAAGTCAGTGAAATGAGGCTTACATGATTCTTGCTGTTGTATTCTAACCATAGTCCTGACTGCTCTTTTCTGTATTACAAAATGCTTTTTGTATATTGTAGTCATAACTTCCACCCCAGAAATGTTTGCTGTACCTTAGCCTTGACTCCACCAATGCGTAATACACCATTTTCAAGTGTTTTATGGTTACGTCGTTTCTGAGACTTCTAAGCACATAACAGGCAGGGCTAAACGCTTTCACAAGGTAATTTAGCTTTTCCTTCCACTTCAACTGGCTATCAATATAAACTCCCAGAAACTTAACTACTTCTACCACATTTAACTTTTCTCCATTAATCGCACTCTTAATGCTATCCTTATTTTTGGAAGTAGATCGAAATAGCATTACGTTAGTTTTACTGGCGTTAATTTTAAGACCGTTGAAAGCGAACCAACTGAAAGATATCTAATGTTTGATTAACAATTGTATTCAGGTTGTGTATATTGTCAGTAGAAACAACGGCGCTAGTATCAGCGGCGAACACTCCAAGTTGAATAGATCCCGCAGCATTTTCCATCATATGTTGTATCAGGTCATTTACAAACGCGATAAAGAATATCGGACCCAGTATGGATTTCTGTGGTACGCCAATGTGCACTGGGGACAATTGGGATCTGAAAGTTTCTTCAGTTAGACAGTTCTTGCCAGAGGAATCTGTCCTTAATGTTTCTACTTTAATTTCCACAAACATCTTTCTGTTCTTCAAGTAGGATGAAAGAAAGGCCATTACTCTACGCCTGACACCGTAGTGTTCCAGTTTTTCAAACAGCATTTTTATGATCCACCACTGTATCAAATGCTGAACTTAAATCTAAGAAAAGCCCAGCTACTCTCTGTTTGTCATCCAATCTTCTCACTACGTCCTTAATCAAAGTCGATATTGCGTCTTGTGTCCCGACGTTTTTCTGATAGCCAAATTGTTTCCTACTTTACACCCCATTTTGGCAGAAATGTCCTAGTAATCTAGATTTAATCAGCTTTTCAAAGATTTTTGAGTGTGTAGGCAGTAATGAGATAGGTCTGTACGTCTTTGGGTATTTATTGTAAAACATGCTTAGAGGTATCGCTAGTATATCTATACTGTCCTTTATTACTGATGTGTTTATGTCGTCATAGCCACAAGATTTTTTGTCATCCACGTATTTCACTATGTTGAATATCTCACGGGGAGTGACAGCGTCTAGGATCAGCTCATTAGTTACTCTTTCTGCGCTCCTCCGTAGAATATGCATAGCAGCCTCTGTACTTGCAGTAGCTGATGAATTAAATTGGAATTGCTGGGACAAGATATTTACAATTTCTGACGGTTCTGATGCTATCTTGTTGTTGGATTTTAAGATTAGTTTTTTCTTATTCTTTACAATCTTATTCCTATGTTTGTTTACCACTTTCCAAGGATCTTTTGATATATTAGTAGAGTTCGCTAATTTAGATTGTACAGATAACTTTTTGGCCATATTTATCACTTTTCTGTATAGAGCTATGTATTTTTGTCTGTAGTCCATCACGGTGTCATTTTGACTATTCCCTTTACCAGTACATAAAAACCGTTTCATCTTGCTAGAGATTTTTACACCCTTAGTGACCCAACGTAACTGCGCGTTATGCGTTAAACGCACGTACTGTTTTCTTTTCCTAAAAGAGCGTGTAAACATTACTTCGAACTGTTTTAAGAACGAGTTAATTCCAAAATCACTCCAGTCATGATTTAATAGCAAATTCCTAAATTGCTCCTTGTAGTTGTACTGATAATACGTTTGGTAATTTGAACACTACTGTTATTTTTATTCCTACATAGTTCCATACTTCTGAAAGCTGTATTGCAAAGCAGTCCCAGCAGTGGCAGGGCGAGGGGTACTGTGGTGCCTACTAGGGTCAGAATGTTACCGACTAAAAACCAACCCGGTGTTCCTCCATTTACCCATGTGTCGGAGGCCGCGTATCGTCGAAGCATTCGTCGCATCCCCCCGACGGGTACTGGCCCGCCAAAAAGTCGGGCAGGCGCTGTCCCCTACTGCGGCCGTCACCCTGACTGCAGGACCCCACTATGAGGCGCCCGCGGAACACGGCGCCGCCGCCTCGAGGCATGCTGCTGTCGCCCGCAGGTCGCGCCCTTTCGGAGGCCGCAGGTCGGCCACCCTAACGTCTAGTGCGTCTGCTGCTGGAGGGAAGAGAAGAGGTAGCCTCTCTCTCCCTTTCCACCGCCTCCTTTGCGAGCATCACGGGCTCGCAAAAGGTAGCGACGGCACTCCACCCTGATTCATTCTCGACCATAGTAGATACTACAGCCGGAAGAGAGAGAGATTTCCCGCTAGCGCTACGCTCAGCGAGTCGGAGCCCAGCCCGTTGCTTACGGTACTTCCCGAAACACCCGTGTTCGGTAAGCACCTGCATCAGCCGGAAGTATTATAGATTATGCCGATGTTTGTTACTACGACCTGAATGCTGATCTCCTCAATAAACTTGACTGACTTTTTTGCATTCGATTCGTTCACATCGGTTGCAATTGAAGATGAACAATTAGCTCATTTCTGCATCACCCAAAGCTCGAGTGATAGAAAAGACCTAACATGGAGTTAAAATAAATAAATACATAGCAGCACGTCGCTGCACCTCAAGCTGGACATCACGCGTTGTCAAAGGCACCAGAAATGGCAAAAAAAGTCCACTACATAATATATTTGTGCTAAGATCAATTTAGTAAGCATGGTTCGGATGGAGAGAGCCGCGTCAATACTTTACTATACACAGTAAAACCGAATTGTGTTTTGTGAAACATCGGTGCTCCTGGCAGTAAACGTGGAACTGCAAGCTTTGAGGATAATATATTTTTTACTGATGTGAGTCGTGACTCGTTTAGTTACCCAGTATGTGAGCCCCGCCATCATTTGGTTTGTCCCAGCTAAGCTGGAGCGCATGCGCTGCCGTGGTGCGCAGGCGCGGCGCAGGCGGCGCGGGAGGCGCGCGGACCTGCAGCGCTACGCTCAGCGAGTCGGAGCCCAGACCGTTGCGTACGGTGCACGTGTAGTTGCCCGCCAGCGACGCCTCCGCCTCTGGATATAAAACACTTCGCTTCAATTTAATTCAAACGCAGAACACTTCATTAAATCATGTCGACGGTGAAATGACAATAGGTACCACCTGTAATTTATCTAGAATATCACTTTTTAACGTTTTTAATATAGCAAAGTTATTAGAATATGTTAACACAAACAATCTTCTCAGTGTATTCTCCTCTCTTTCAAGAATACCAACGAGAGTTACGGCAACCCCAGCAAAACAAAAACAAGAAATCTAGGATATATCACGTTGGGAGTATTGGTAAGTCTGTATTTCGTAGTCGATTTAGGAAAAAAATAAAACGTCTCACTATGAATGATGAGATCGCCATCGTCAGTGACAGTGTAGTGGGTCGGTAGCGGCGCCCAGCGCCAGCGCAGTGGGGGCGCTCCCAGCGCAGAGCAGCGCAGGCGCACGCGCGCGCCCCACGCGGCGCTCACCACGCGACTAAACGACGATATCCTGGCTGATACTGCCGGATTAATAGAAAAATATATTATAAACCTCGGAAGCCACCTTTTCTACAAAAGTAAAAATATTTTAATTGATGGCTGGGGGTAATGGAACCCACTAAATGTACCTTCAATCACATTTGTATAATATTTTTGCAGGGTGCAAGGTTTCGTGATATCCAATCTGTTGTTTATAACTGTTTATTGGAACGTATCATTAATGTTCTTCATCTAAATTGTTGATAACTAACGATACACGAAAACGTTAAAATGTACTGGTGCGAACGCCGTCCAGAGCATCTGCAAAAGACGCCGCCAAGACCACATCATGATTCATGATGTAGGTGTAGGCGTTAAACAGAAGAGGCGAACGAAAACCAACACTGGAAGCCGTCTTGAAAGCATCAGAGAGCACATCTTCAACCCGTACTGTAGCTGGACTACCAAAACAATGTTTTAACCATTGAAAGTGACAACTCTATGGTTTCAACGGAGGCTTAGCCATAGCCAGTTTCAAGGCTTAGCCATAGCCAGTTTCATAGTTGTACTATGACTGAAGCGTCTAGGTAAAGTTAAATGTCAATGCACGGAAATATTGTGTTCGCAAAGTGTTCGGTAGCGTTACACCGTACAATATTTTTAAGGTGATGATATATGATGTATTGATGTATTATTAATTTTCTAAAACCCTGCACAAATTTGCAAAAAGCCATTGACTGTACGGAACAAGACAGTTGTTGCGCGGAATGGCGGAGATTTCAGGAGAGACGTACAGGTGGGAGCCGGCGCGGCGGCGACGGGGCGGCTCGGCGGGCCGGCGCTGGCCGCGTTGGCGGCGCGCACCCACAACTCGTACACGGTGCTCTCGCGCAGGCCGCGCACCTCCCGGCACACCTCCTCCTGCCAGGTCTCAGTCTCGCCGTCCTCCGCCGCTACGTCGACGCGCTGCACCCACTCCCCGCCCACTCTTTAATGAAACAATGACAGCTCGAATACTGCGAGTGTGCCGCGAATAGCGCAGTTAGTTGCAGGCGCATGACTGACTTGGCGCGCTCCCGGGAGTAGAGCGTGTAGTGCGTGAGGCGGCCGGCGCCGGCGGGCGGCAGCCAGCAGACGCGGACGGCGGCCGCGCTCGCCGCCAGCGCGCGGACCCGCTCCACGGCCTCGGGGACTGCGCACACAGTATAAGGCGTCATGGAGGCTTCCCGTTAATAGTAAGTAAGGTGTTCATTCATTAATAACTAATCAGTGAGTTATTCCAGATTGATCTAAACCGGCGTGAAACAACCACATCGTTATTTCGTCGTGTAAGTGAGGTGAAGTGTAGCCATCCTTTATATTATTATGTAAATGATCCTTCGAGTAAGACTACTAACAGTAAAAGTAAATAGAGTAAAGTCACAGGGTGCTAGCGTATCGATGGGCGTACCGCAGGGCTCAATATTAGGTTCATTCCTATTTTTGGTTTATGTGAGTGATCTGCCCATTATTCCAAAGTGAGCCGCCGTAAGTAACGTATGCGATGATATATAATTAAATGGTTAAAAACTGGAATTTGTAAAGGAGACCACATTCTTGGGGATTACTGTAGACGACAAGCTGCAATGGGGGCCCCACATTAGATCTCTAGCAAGGCGGTTGAGCTCGGCAGCTTATGCTGTCTGGAAGATCCGTCAGCTAACCGACGTAGGCACGCCTCGAATAGTGTACTTTAGCTACTTTCACAGCATTATGTATGGAATTCTGTTGTGGGAACAGGTATCCGACGTTGAGTCTATCTTTATCTTGCAAAAGCGTGCCGTCAGAGCTATCTATAACTTAGGGCGTCGCGAATCTCTCAGACAAAATTAAATTATTGAATTAAATCAATTATTATTAAAAGAGATCAATATTATGACCGTACCATGACAATATGTTTATGAAGACATTATGTATGTGAGGTAAAACCTACTGCTATTTGTAAAAGTATCTGACAAACATGATTATCTTACTAGACATAGGAATAGATTAAGTCAACCTTTATTTATATTAGCAAAAGTGCATAAGTGGTTCGTGGGATTATGTTGTAAATGTGTTAATAAAATTCCAGGTGAAATATGTTCAAAATCTTAATGAAAGAAAATTTAAATTATGTACAAAGAAAGTTTTATGTAGAAAAGCATACTACAAAGTAAATGATAGAAGATTTGAATTGATTTTGATTTGATTTGATTTGATTTTGATTTGATTTGATTTAACATAATAATATTAATGCTAGGTATCAAGTTAATGCATGATTAGCGATTAAGCTTTTTACTTGTTTGTAACTAATAAAATGCATACTACTATTATTGACAGGATCAGAGTTGTTCTCATTTACATTTGTCCTTACGATCCTAAACATCTCATTTGCATTCATTTTTGGTTGTTCCGTTTTTCTCGTAGACGACAGTTTTATTATATTTGCATTATTTAAAAATTTTATATATATATTTGACTCCGGTTAACAGATTGTCTTGCGTGTCCGCGAGAGGCCACTCCTTGCCACGCTCCACTTTTTTATATTAACCTGCCTTTGAACTTACAGCTGGACCGAAGACACCGAAAACATTAAGGTGCATTAAGGTATTGATCATGGGCTAACAACAATTCTGTAATGTAAACGCATAGTATTGAATGAATATGGTAGAGTGGAGTAAGCAGTATTTGGTTGTAAAGGCGCGACTGACCGTCGTCGCGCGTGGCGCAGTAGACGGGCGCGGCGGGCGGGCCGGCGCCGGCGTCGCTGCGCGCGCGCACCCACACGGAGTAGTTGGTGGCGGCGCGCAGCCCCTGCAGCGTCGCCGCGCCGCCCGGGCCCGCGCGCGCCTCGCCGCCATCTGCCATCCGCTCGTTATACGTGACTGTACCACTCTATATCTACTTACACTTACATATAAAGAGGAAAACTCTCATTGTTTCTTTGTAGTCGATAGGATAAAAGCCGACCGCTTTTTTAAATTCTTTCCCCATTCGACAGCTTCATTAATCACATTGAGGCCGCAACGCCCTTGTAGTAACTCCTTTGATATTACAAGTATTCATGGGCGGCGCTGATTGCTTACCATCAGGTAATCCATTTGCCGACTTATGACATAAAGAAACCATGAGTAGTAGCATAGCCTACATTTTATTTTAGAAAAAATATAAAATTTAAATTTAAAAGGATTTAAAAGGAAGGATTTAGAAGGAGGAGGAAGAAGAAGGAAAGGATATAAAATTTAAATTTGAAAGGATAAATTTAAAGGAATTTAAGAGGAGGAGGAGGATTTAGAAGGACGTTAAAAGATCTAAAATAAAAGGTAAATTTTATTTTCATTATTTATATCCTTTAAACCCAGCCTCTAACACGCGCGAGGCTTGTGTCGAGCGTCGTAAGTCGTAATAATAATTAGATTAAGCATTGTACCTGGGTGCTGACCGGAGGAGGCATGCAGCGGCGCGTAGTGCAGGTCGTACCCGCGCAGCGCGTGCGCATGCGCGGCGGACAGCGGCGCCCAGCGCACGCGCAGCGAGCGCGCCGACAGCGCCTCGCACGCCACGCCGCGCGGCGCCGTCTCCGGCGCTGCACGCGACACTTCGCTGTTACTGGCTTAACTTGAGCTCATTCACTGCACGTTAAGTTCTTCTTACATAACAAAGGACTCTTAATCCATACTTGAGTGAAAATTAACGAAGTTTACTTGTAGGGAATGCCATTCGATATTAATCCACCCTTATTTAGGTTTTAAGCCAAACTTCGGAAAATGAAAAGTACTTAACTTACATTAAATGCGGTGTAACATTACATGGGGATTCGAAAAACTATCTTACATTTGGCACACTAGCCACACTTGGTCATCGACTTTTTACCTTGCTTGAAAGTTGGAACCAAAATATTTAAAAGTATAAATTTCATTATACTGGGTTAACCAGGGAAAATCCATTTTCTCGACATGGACGCTAGACGCACCGTAAAAATAAGTTCATCTACGACGAAAATAATACCGAGAAAAAGTAAGAAATAAGAGAGTGAGTGCGTCACCTCCGTCGGCGGTGGTCGCGTAGAGGGTGGGCGAGTGCGGGCCGGCGCCGGCGCGGTTGTAGGCGCGCGCGGACAGCGCGTAGCGCGCGAACGAGCGCAGCCCTTCCACCGCCAGCTGCGAGCTGCTCCAGCCGCGCACTGCCACGCGGCCCGCGCCCCCCGCCCCGCCCTCCTCGTCCTCCGCAGCCTCTTCGCCGCTGTCGACGCGTATCTCGCGCCACGAGACCACGTACCCCAGCAGCTCACCGTTCCAGCTATCTTGCGGCGGAGTCTGCTTGCATCCGTATAATTTAGTGTTGCAGAAGTGTTTATTTGGTAGAGGAGAGAGGAAATAAGCTAATAGCGGTGCCTCTTTTCTTGGAGGTTTGACATTAGTGGCTTCTACTGTAAGACCGAGGTATACGCACCGACCATGACACCTGCAGCTCACCCGGTGTGGACGCTGTTACTCTAACATTTTGCGGGGCGCCAGTTGGAGCTGAAAAAATGTAGGAACAACTGTTAATCAATCATCTAAACCATTATCTATAGCAGATACCACATCGATCAAGTAGGCCTAAATCTTTAACGTCACAGCTGAAAGGAATGATCACCACGTTGTAAAGGACGGCTGGCAGGAAAGCATTGTCAAACCTACCTAGGGGTCGAGAACTTCTCATGATGATAGCTTGGCACTCGTTCGGGTTTGCCACAATGCCAAATCTTATTGACCAGTTACTGATGGTAGCTTAGTTATCATTTATTAGGGTTCCGTAGTAAACTAGGAACCCTTATAATTTCGCCATATCTGTCGGTCTATTCGCGGATAATCTCAGTGACCGGTAGCACTAGAAAGCTGAAATTTGTTAAAATTGGAAAAGGGAAAATTGAGGTTTACTTACATCATGTTTTGTTAATATTATTAATTTGTTAATATTGAGCGTTTTGGAAATAATCGCCCCAAATTGCGGCGTTTAAAAAAATGCGTCCAAAGGTTCGAGCTTTTGATCCCCAAGTTTAGTAAATATGGAAAGGAGAACTTAACTATTAATAGTTTAACTCTTACTGTAGTTTACAGAAGAACTTGTAACAGACACTAAAAAGGAAAAAACTACGTTTAAAAAACCGACTTCAAAAATAAAAAAGTGTTAAATAATTCAAATAGATATTTTAATATCACTCTTACGTACGCGATGCTAATACTTTTAATATTAACAATAAAACACTATCAACTATAATATTAGACCAGGGTAGAAACCTTCAAAAATAATGAAATGTGAAAAAAATCATAATAGGATGAAACCTATAAGAGAAGGAGGGAAATATGATAAAAATGAAAGGAAAAATAATTTACGGGCGATCTGAGGTTGGGAAGGGGATGGGGGTGAGTTTTTAAGGGTAAAAAACGGTTTTTCTCGATTTCAAAACTTTCAGGCAAAACTGAAAGTCCTATCGAAAAAAGTCAAATGGAAAAGTTGTAGATAATAAAAAGATCTAAAACTTTTGTATTTACACTTTTTTCACATAACCTCAAAATTTATGTGAAAAATTCAAAAAACCAAGTTTTTGGTTATGGTGAAAAATATATATATATATATATATATGTTACTATGGTAAATCTTCTCAGAAAACGCAAAAAATAAAAAAAAAACTTGAATTCGAAAAATGTTTTTTGATTATTATAAATAATTTCATCCTAAAAATGTGATTACTGCAATTTCTTTCAATTAAAAAGTTGATTTATTTAATTTTAATTACATTTATGTCTTGGAAAATCTCTTTTTGTCATAGAACAGACATATTTATTTCATAGAAGATAGATTTATGTCATAGAATTTTTTTTTGTATTTATTGTCGATCCCTTTTTTGCTGGATACCACTAAACGATTCAAAGCTGTTTTTTTTATTGCATACACTAGATGCTTATCATCCGCCTTATTGCAAATGATACAAACGAATATAATCTGAAAACACAAAATCGAATTAATAATGTCTTCACTATTTAATCGTGATTAGTGAATAAACTCCCATGAAAAAAAAATATAGAAATCAATGTCAAAATGTATTAATAATATATTAGATACAAATCTATTAAATATATATAAAAATCGGCCAAAAGTTTGTTTTATTAGAAATATATTTACGATATATTTTTTATAGATTTTAAATTTTTTTTCATGGCATTAACTAAATTTGTGCAAAATTAAGGATATAATTTTTTTTTTTTATATTGTACTAAAATATCATTTAATTTCAATCTTTAGGTTATATTAAGTTAAGCATACTATTTTTTAAAAAAAATATTACGATTTTTATGGTTGAGTTGATTGATACAGATAAAAATAGAGATAGTATTTACCTTCCTATGCAGATTCGAAAAGTTTTATTGTTTAAAAAACAATAAAACTTTTACTATAAACTTAAACTTGTTACAATTATCTTCAAGTAACTCAGCGTGCACGTGTATTTTTATAAACGATGTTGTATACTTTACTGTATTTCGAATACTGGTTAGGCTAGCGGTTGTAACAGCTGCTACGAAATATATAGTATATAATAGTAGGTATGTATGTAGTAAGACCAAGACCCGCCTAGCCCATTCCCCACTTCTCCACGAAATACCTTTTGATGGGCTACAATTTTTCGTAGGTCACTCAGGTATATCTACTTAGGTATCTACATAATTTATCTCAAAATAGTTATAAGAAAGCATCTACGAATATAATTTAAAAAAAATTAGACAACTTTCTCCAAATATTGTAGATGTGTTATTAAATATTAATTTAATTAACTTATTTGTTTCTTAATTATAGTAGTATATTTTTATGTGCAATTTTTTTTGTTATCAACGTCACATGTAATCTTACATTTTTCGAGTAATTAAAGTCTAAATTTTAATAAATAGCTCAACATTATTTGTAATAATTAAAAAAAAAATCGAATTCAAGTAATTTTAAAATTTTTGCGTTTTTTGAGAAGATAGAGTAACATATTTTTTTTTCACCATCGGTAAGTAGAGATTTCAACAAACCATACCAACTTTTTGAAAAAAGCTAATATTTTGACGGGTGAATTTTCGATTGAAAATTAGGGTGTTTTTTCGATATTAATTCAAAATAAGGTGAAAAAAATAAATATTTTTTATCAAATAAATTACAGCGTATTTGAGACATAAAAAGGTAAGTCTTCAAAAAATTTCGTTAAAAAAACAAATTTTTTTGTAAAACAAAAATTAAAAAAACCAAAAACTTTTTTTTTGAATTTTTCACATACATTTTGAGGTTATGTGAAAAAAGTGTAAATACAAAAGTTTTAGATCTATTTATTATCTACAACTTTTTCATTTGACTTTTTTCGATAGGACTTTTAGTTTTGCCAGAAATCGAGAAAAACCGTTTTTTACCCTTAAGAATGAGTTCTTAAGGGTAAAAAACGGTTTTTCTCGAGTGGTGAGCCCCCATCCCCTTCCCAACCTCAGATCGCCCGTAAATTGTTTTTCCTTACATTTTTATCATATTTTCCTCCTTTTCTAATGGGTTTCATCCTATTATGATTTTTTTTGGTTTTACGCGACGCGACCTTAACGCCGCGTTGTCGCGTGGCAAACATTAACATCGCGTCTGCGCAACGTTAACGTCGCCTTTGTTGGCAACAAGTGTATGCCAAAGACTACATTTGATAGAGCAGGACGACATTATTGTACCTGTTACCAACAAACATGACGTTAGCGTCTACAATAATAACATCTAATTTATATTACATGAGCTTTTGCTCGCGACTCCGTTTGCGTGGAATAGTGACTTCTTGCAGATTTTTGGTATAACTATCCTTTATCATTTTTCGAGTTCCAAACCATGTCTGTACCAAATTTTACAGAAATAGGTTCAGTAGTTTAGAAAAGACAGACAGACAGACAGGGTTTTTATACGCTATCATCTATTTTTGCCTCTGAATTGCCGTGTTCACAATTACCACTGTCGCACGCGTAAGATCCCTCGCCTGACCCGTATCCCTGGCTATATTAAGGGATTCCTTTTCTACCTGTGTGTGTACCAGGTATAAAGTATCTGGTAGTGATTTTGGAATCATCGCTCCTGAGAATCTTTTTGTCTCAAGGGATCTCACGCTAGATTTGGATGAGTATATGCCGCTATACACTGTATTAAGAGCATATGCCACGTCCATTACATTTCTGTAAACAGCAATACCTGGCTTATGGATGTGATAAGTATAGGGCGGCTGTAGTCGCGAGGGAAGAGGTTGTCTCTATGATCAACGGGAGCTGATACATGTCACCGACAAGCAGAACTTCCTTAGCTTGACTTAATCAATCCCAAATCCCCCAATTCGTCAGGATAGTTTTCCTCCGAGTGGTGGACCACAACAGCTGAAGCAGCACTTCAGTTGTTGTTCGAAAAAATCTCCACCCGTCTCAAATTGTTTCACTATTCAAGTCGGTTTCCCGCATCCAGGGACACTAAGTATTCGTTCAGCAAAACTCTGATGAAGGGCCAGTTTTCAAAAACTGCTCCGTCCGCTTCGGATTCTGACCGATTTTGCGATGGCAAAATCTATTTCAGAATCCGAACCGGAAAGGATGTTGGATTTGTCCAATATCAATGACAAACACGAGAAAAGTATAATATATGTCTTGTCAGAAGGTAAATAGTACATCGATTTTTTATTTTATTTTAGTTTATTTTTGGTTTTGAAGTATTTTTTTGAACGTTATACCTAGTTTAATTTATTTATTACATTCTATCCCGGCCCAAATTGACATTTATATGTACAATTACACATTTATATGTATAATCACATTTACGCAGGTTGAAAACATAATGTGCGACATACTATGCATGCATATTTATGCAAATAAAGTAAACACTGGAATGTTGTACCTTCTTCTAATGTAGTGAACATTAAGGGGTCTGAGTGCGGTGACTGCCCCACGTGATTGGCTGAAGTCAGCCGCAGAGAGTAAGCGCCCGCTGGCCGCAGCCCCTCGAGCGTTGCCGATAATGTATCTTCGCTATCTGTCCTATAATGACGTGTTAAATAGAAATACACAGAATAATTGGTTGGCTTGTATTTAACGGCTGACGGGAACAGTTTGCGCAGTGTACCGGTGGTCGGTGTGCACCGTGAGGTTGGTGGCGGTGGCGGCGCCCGGCGTCCGCAGCGGAGCGTAGAGCGCGGTGTACACCAGGCTGGCGGGCGGTGCAGGGGGCGCGGGCGGCGCGGTCCACACCAGTCGCACCCACCGCGACCCAACTCCGCCCAGCCTCAGCTGCCGCGGCGCTGCTGGCGGCTCTGTATGCGAATATAGTACAGGTGCACAATGACATACCAAGCTTAATGTTACGTCGTCGTCGAAATGTTCCTGTTGTTACTAACACGACCTTAATAAAAATAAATTAATTTATTTTTGTTAAGGTTTTAGGAAGACTTTTAGGCCGCTATCCAACTAGACGTTTTACTAGCGTTGACGCCACGTACGCACCTTCGACATGCAAGAACATGATCAGCTCGCTGCGGCCGAACTGGTTGTGCGCGTGGCAGCGGTACTCGCCGGCGTCGGCGCGCTCGGCGGCGCGCAGGCGCAGCGTGGAGCGCAGCCCCGCCGCCGTGCGCGCCTCCGACACCGCCCACCTGCGCACTCCGCGCGTCACTACCCGCCTCTACCGTGCTACTAGGTACCCGACACTCGGCAGTGTCACCTGTAGGAGGAGAGGTCGACGGTGGCGCCGCGGTGCGTCCAATGCAGGTGCAGCGGCGCGTCGCCCCGCGCCTCGCACACTAGCGCCGCCCCGCGGCCCCGCACACTAGTCACGTTGCCGCCCGAACCCTCGAACTGCGCCGGCTCTGTAACACAGCATCCTGTTTGCGCTGACCTGGGACAACCACTAGTATCACTGTTTCGCCATGTTTTTCTGTCAGTCCGTCCGCGGATAATATCAGTAACCGTAAGCCTAGAATGAAAGCTGAAATTTGCCACCAATATTTATAACAAACAAAACAAGTGGTAAAATAAAAGTGGAAAAATGTTTTATATGGTACCATTAAATAGTTCAGAATTTTGATATCAGCATTGCAAACGTGAGAAGCCAGAGCGGATCGTTAGTAATTAATATAACAGAAAACAACGGCTTACGTGAATTTGCTGAAATAGGTAGACGTGAAAAGTAGTACTACTTCTATAAGAGTAAATATCCAATCCAGAATTTTATTGTACTAGTATCCATCATTAGCATGTCGTTAGTGTTAGGAGTACGTAAGCGAGCATTTACCGGCACATGTGCGCCATCTCTAGTGACGTCACCGCGCCTTGTACGCTGCTCATTAATAGGAATCCCGTCAAAAAAGTCGTTATTTTTAATTATGTTCCACGAGTAAGCTAGACTTTCCAGTGATATAATATATTCGTGTAAGAAGTGGAATGGCCAACCATGAACGGTAATGTTAACGTGCTTGAGCAATGGCGGCCCCACTCCGTTGTCGGCGAGGCAGCGGTAGAGCCCCTGCAGCCCCCGTGCCGCCGCCCCCGCCGCCAGCGACCCGTTGACCGCGTGCACCCCCCCCGGCGCGCCCCACTCTGCCGAGCCCACTTGCTCCCACTGCTCGCCATTGTCGCCACTGTCGCCCACCAAAGAGCTCGCCCCACCTGGAATACCTACTTGTTAGACCGGCTCCAGTAAACTAAACATTGAATTATGTATAAGTGGGTCACGAACCGCTGCGTCTGTACCACGTGATTAAAGGAACGGGGTGACCTTTAGCAGCGCATCGTAGCAGCAGAGGAGCACCGAGCAACACGGCCGTGTCTGAAGGCTCCATCGTCCAGGTCGGAGCAACTGCATCAAACATGCCCGTAATTATTGGTGAGTAGACAGCATTCGAAGCACCAGCGGCCCCTGCGGCGAGACTCACCCTTGACGCTGAGCGTGGCGGTGTAGTTGACGACGGCGGCGTGGTTGGACACGCGGCACGTGTACTCGCCGCTGTGGCGCGCCGTCAGCTCCGAGAACATCAGCAGCGAGAACTCGTTCAGGTTCTTCTCTTCTATCTGAACAATGGTCATATCTCGTGCTATCGTCACTGCGACGTATTCCTACACTACCTCAAATACTGCAGAGTACCTGCAGGTTGGCTGGCAGCGGAGCACCATCCTTAAGCCACGTGAAGTACATGGGCTTATCCCCAGACGACACTCCACACAGCACCTGCACTGAGCTGCCCTCCGTTAATTCCGAAGAAAACATGAATGGCGAGATTTTTGGCGGATCTAAAAGTAAACGTTAAACGTGCATTTTACGAGTTGTTTTAGTACACTGGGAAGAAACGATAGTAAAGAGAGAAGTTGTGTATTGTACTGACTGCGGACTTGAATGTCGACGTCGCGGCGCGCCGCAGGGCCGGTGGGCGCGGCCACGGCGCAGGCGTAGTGGCCCGCGTCGGCCGGCAGCGCGGGCGCCAGGCGCAGCTCGGCCCCGCGCGCACTGACGCGCCCGGCGCCGCCCAGCGCCACGCTGGCGCCGCGCCGCCACCACGATATCGAACTGTACATCACGAACCGCTACTGTCCGTTGTCCACTGATTCCGAATCATCCATTAAGAATGTTTGAATGTGGGAGAGCGGCACAAATGCCTGGTCTCGACTCCCTCCATTCTCCCCAATCCCTTATACCCGACTCTTTTTGGAATTTCTACAAGAATTAATTAAATAAATCCAGATCCTTATGCGCTTAGGTGCAGACACGAGCTATACCATATAAAACTGTTCCGGTCGGGGTCGCGGTAGGTACATACGTACATATATTGCGTTTGCATCAAAGAATCTTATTAATCAGGCAATATTATTAAGATTTGTGTGGTTTGCATTCACAACCCCGGAGGAACATTGGCCCTACTGAGCGCCATCTTTTTTTTAAAGTGGAAAATCATCACATAACTTCTCCCGCCAAGGGTGAGACGAGAGGGAGTATCAGAATCTTGCTGACTAGAAACCCCTTCGTTCGCCACGGTGCCTTATTGCACTTGTCCTCCAACCCCGGCTGAACATCAGCCCCATAGTGCCCCGTCTGTAAAGGTGTATTGGCTCTTTGAAACCTACGCGGAATGCAACGCGCCGTATGCTGCGTCTGATTCTGGTTGAACTGCGAGCTACCCTGCTTGCCAAAAGTAGACCCGCGCTTACGGTAACCGGAACCATCATCTCTTGATCTCGGCGAGAATGGCTCCCTCACGCGCTTCGCCTTCTCAAAGAGTCTCTCAAGCCACTGCTCAGAGAGGGGTCTTACCGTTGTTATAACAGCGAGCCCGATTGGGCCCCACCTGTGGTGGTGTAATGGCTCTTTAAGCCGCGCATGGAACGTTTGTTTTTTGGTTTCATTCGTGAGACATCATTTCCTTTTGTAAGACTGAATCACAAAGTTTCTTTAAAATGTAAAATTAATTAGATAATGTGACCGTAAGAAAAATACTATAAAATAATTTATATAAGTAGATAGAGAGGAATCATCCCATCAAAATGCACCTCTATGGACCTGATCGGATATCCGGCGTAGGGGCAGTAGATTGTGGCGTTCGCTCCGGCTACCACGCGGACTGGGCCTAGCGCCCGTATCGATGGTGGACCTGTGAAGAGAACCGACGTAATTGGAAATATCCCCTGAACGTCTGTCATTTGTAAAGCACAATATTCAGTTATAAGTATGAGCAGTAAGCACACGCAGTCGTGAGGTATGTTGCGTACCGTATATGTTGAGCCTGGCGGAGTGGCGCGCGTGGCCCAGCGCGTTGTACGCGCGGCACGTGTACCGGCCGCCGTCCGCCGCGCTCACGGCGCTCACGTTCAGCGTCGACACCACGTCGCCCGTCACGGATGTCTCCTCATTTATGAAGTATCTGATCAATATTACCAAAACGCTCATAAGTATGTCTTATAGCACACATCCTTCATGAGTATAATCTGTCCAATACTTATGAACGGTTACGTTTTTGTGTTAAATTTTTTTGCCGGTCAGGTGGGGTCATTACGCTCAAGAACTGCTTGTGAGCTTGTATTAAACAATGTGCACGATTCAATACTTTATGCTCAGCTATGCAAATTACCGCAAAACTATATTATACTTTAAACTTTCGCGTGGCATATTCATACTTTAAGGGGGTTAAGTAATTGGAATACTTTAACTTGGACGCAAGTATGAGACGCTGATTGGTGTGTAGTAAGTAGGGGTGCGAGGGAATGCGGGACCTGTGCGAGGCGCGGTAGTGGTCGAGCGGCACGTCGTCGAGCAGCCACTGGAAGCGCGGCGGCGGCGAGCCCGCGGCGGCGCAGCGCAGCGACACCGCGCCGCCCGCGCGCAGCGCCTGCTCGATGAACGTGTACTGCAACTCCGGCGCCGACTCTGTCCAGCCATCAAATACTTACTAATGTTTTCTTTTTTAAGACTCATTTTTTTGTGTTTTTTTTCCTATGTCCTTTCTCTAGTTCCAAACTATGTCTCTACCTTTCACACAAATAGGTTCAGTATTTTAGGCGTGAAGAAAAGGCAGACAGACAGAGTTACTTTCGCATTTATAATTTTAATTTTGGATTGACTTTAGATTAATTTGGATACACCATGATTTTGTCATCTTACGATGTCACAGGATCATATGATCTGATTTGTGAGTTGTGACTGTCAAAAAAAAAGTCTAAAATCATTTATTCCAATTAGACCTTTACAGGCATTTTTGAACGTCAAACAAAATTTTGAAGATATGGTATCAGTCTGTCGGTCAGTCTTCTTAGTGAAGCTATTTGCTCGTTCCAAAGTGTAGATTCCGATGGAGAAGAACGAGCAAGAAACTCCATGGTTACTCTTTTTAAATCAGTTTCACATACAGATTCCTTTTACAAACTGTTGGTTCAATTATGTGAGAACAGTGTAACACTAATATTTGTTCAAATCTGGAGCTGACCAGTCCCAACTGACGGCGCCCGTTCACGAACATGACACGTACACCAGCATCGCCCAACTCAACCATATTATAGGGAAAGCGATCCATCGCCCATGCCACCGCCAGTGTGACCCTTCAGTTTGCATGACAACTCCAAGCTGTTATAAGGACCGACATTCTGCTAGTCTAACCAATTATAATAGGTTACAGGGCACTCACATTTACAAATTTATCAAGTTATAGTTATAATATAATGCAATTTCACTAAAATGGAGAAGTCCCGTTCAAGCAAAATCCACTGGAACGTTATTTATTTTGGTGTAGGTTTGCTATCCTGTGGAGCAGGACCATCATGTCTCCAAGCATCTTTATCTACACAATGTAATCATTCAGTGTGTAGTATGCTTTTCTACATAAAGTTTTCTTTACACATAATTTAAAATTTCTTTCATTTAATTGTTGTGTTTCGCCTGGGATTTTGTTATAACATTTAACACAGAATCCCATGAACGACTTGTGTACCTTTGTCAATCTAAATAATGGCTGACATAATCTATCTCTATGTCTAGTTTGATAATTATGTCTATCTGACACCTTATCGAATATTTTTAAGTTTTTCCTAACATACATAATGTATTCATAAATAAACTGACATGGCACGGTCTTTAAACTTTTCTCTAAGAGTCTCACGACGCTTTAGGTTGTTAATAGCTCTGATGGCACGCTTTTGCAAGAGCTAGATAGACTCAATGTCAGCAGCCTGTCCCCGCAACAAGATGCCATACGACATAATGCTATGAAAGTAGCCGAAGATACTATAATCGATTTGTATGTTTGTATAAAAAAAGGGAAATTTATAATTGACTTGCCTCCGAGACGCAGCTCGGCCGCGGCCTGCGCGGACAGTGAGGCGAGGCGCGCCACACATTGGTAGACGCCGCGGTGCGCGCGCGCCACCCCCCGCAGCACAAGCACCGCGCTCCCGCCCCCGCCCGCGCCCCCGTCCGCGACCGCGCTGACTGGAGCGCCGTTGTGTAGCCAGGACAGAGACGCGCGCGGGTCCGACGCGCTGCAGTTGAAGTGCGCCGTGCTGCCCGCGTCCGCCACCTGTGAGCGTGTTATGATCGCACTCTCGTGATTGTATACTACTTTGTTTACACGACTTCTGATTTCGTTATGCCAAGACATGAATACGGAAGCCGTTGTAAGCGAGGTAGTTGCGGGAAGCAAGTTTTCTATAAATTTACAAAGCCTCACAATAGATTGCTACCGTAACAAAATAGTAAACTAATGCGGATTCAATCTTCTTACAATATTACAAGTGTGAGGTGTCCACTACTGAGAGACCTCAATCTCCATTTCGTTTTAAAACACAAATTTAAACACTTTTGTGTCTATATTATGTATTCATCGCCCGGGCAACGTAAGAGCCGGCACAGGCACATGCACACGCCGCGTAGCAATGCTCTCCAATAAACCTGAACTTATACCACTGCGGTCTCCCACCACACCTGTCGAGTTTACGGCAAACCTTCAAATGTCGTGAGATCCCGTGGTGTGCCAGCAGGGGACGTCATGGGCTATTGATTGTAATGTGTATTGTGTATTAGTGTAGAACTGACGAGCACAGTGGGCACGACGAGGACGCTGAGCGAGTCGTCGAGCACGTGCAGCGTGGAGTGCGCGGTGGCGTCCCCGTACACGTTGTACGCCTTGCAGATCCAGAGGCCGGCGGCGGCAGGCGAGGCGCGCCGCACGCACTGCGCCGCGCCGCCAGCCCACGCCCAGCTGTCGGCCAGCGCGGGCTGCAGCCGGCCCTCGCGCTCCCGGTACCAGCTGTAGATCAACGTAACAAGGCAACACATTTATTTTGCTATTATTCATTTTTGCTCGTACGTATGATGTGTGTAAAACTTCACTGAACAACAGCAGAGGAGTAAAGAGTACATTGCCGACCTTTTGAAGGTTAGATATTGGGAGAGGGGAAGGATTGGGCCTCTGGTAACCTCACTCACATGGCGAAACAACACGTTGTGGTTGTTTTACGCTGGTTTTCTGTTAGGCAACTTATTTTACTAATAAGTTTCATATACACATCACACCCAGACTCGGATCAACAATTTGAAGATCAAACAAAGTGTTCCGTGCGGGAATCGAACCCGCGCCACGATGCGCGACGGCCAGTCCTTCCAAAAAGGAGGGAAGCTCTCGATTCGACTGTATATAGAAGCACTTTAAAAAAATGTAGGGACGAGTAGAGCTTTTGTATGTTGTTTTAGTAAGTTTTACATCACTACAACTTGACGAAAGTCAAACTCGACCTGATGTTGGAGCCGGAAGACAGTCGAGGGATCTGCTTGACTATTTTTTATTAGCTGCCTTGTGTTTGGGCTCGAATAATCAGTATTGGTAAGCACTGCACCGAGATTCGTCGTAACTGTCATTAAGGGTCTGATGATGAAAACGAAGGACTGTTCTCTGCTCGTGTGCCGTCCTATCACATTTCGATAGAACCAGCCCATTCGTGAGTAATTGACCGGTTAATGTAAGTTAATGTAATGTATATCGGATTGAGTGGAAATTACGTGTATTGCGGCGGAGGGTGATCAGATGCGACGCAAGGCAGACACACAGGATGGCCGGCCTGCACGCTGAGCTCGCCGCCCGCCGCCACCAGCCGCGGCGCCGAGCTCGCCGCGCCCGCTGCACACACACGTCACGTCAGCCAGCGAGCAGCGAGCAGCGAGCACTCCGCGCTAGCTCGCACCGCGCACTCACCGCCGACGGAGAGCAGCGCGGGGCGCGCGCGCCGCGTGGCGCCGGTGACGGCGTGCCGCGCCAGGCAGCTGTACGCGCCGGCGTCGCTGCTGCTCACATCTCGGATCAGCAGCGTGTTGCCCGCTACTAGGTATCGCGACTCTGTCAACGTAGCCATATCTTATACACAATTCGCATTGAGTGTCGCGGTAATCACAGAAGTCAAGGCTTTAAGCACAAGTAATTACCTGGGGAGGGTGGGTCAAGGTGCAACACGGTGTCGCCGCGGTACCACAGCGCGGCGAGCACGTGCGTGGGGTCCCGCGCCCCTGCGCTCGCGCACGTGATGGCCGCGACGCCGCCCGGCGCTGCCGCGGCCGTACTCGCCACCGCTTCCCAACTCTCGTCTGGAACTGCCGGCAGGCACGTCAGTAACTGCCGTTCAATCGTCGACCACTACAACGGTAAGTGACACGGCAGTACCTGGGACGAGCGTGACGTCACGCGACACTGTCACGCCGTGCACGTTGGCGGCGCGGCACCGCACCGTGGCCGGCGTCACCTCGTACGCGCTCGACGGCAACATCTCCAGCGTGCCGTTACTGTATATTCTTCTGTGTGTTTAGCAAAAACAACATTTTTAAGGGATACATAATAATATGTATATTGTATGCACTATACATTATGACTCACTTATATTTTTAATGCGATTAGTCGGCCAACGAGTGGAAGTTAGCCCAGATGTTGGTGTAGATTGTATATCACTTCGTTGGGTATTAATTTTCTCATTAAAATTTGTAGATTTATTTGAAAAAAAAAAAGAAATATTGATAAGCTTGTACAAGTGACTTTTGTGAAATGTGTGAAAAGTGAAATTTAAAACATTGGACTTGATTTGATTGCGTGGTTGGTGCGGTGGCTGGGTAACTACCTGTCACACGACCTGTCGCGGGTTCGATTCCCGCACGGAACAACTCTTTGTGTGATCGACAAATTGTTGTTTCGGGTCTGAGTGTGATAGCACATCACACGATACCGATGCGAAGCAACACTTACATTGCGTTACGTCACAAATCCCGTCTTTTTTGTTTTCCATAGCGAGACAATTACTTTCTCAAAAGTCAAAAATCATTAATTCCAATTAGACCCTTACAGGCACTTTTGAACGTCAAACAAAATTTTGAAGATATAGTGTCAGTATGTCGGTCGGTTCTCTGAGTGAAGCTAAATAAGCTGCTTACAATTTTCAGTTTTACGAAGATAACAGAAGTTTAAATAAAAACATTAATTTAAGTATTGTACGATACCGAAGTTTTTTTTTCGATCTGTAAAAGCCCCTGTATGCTGTAAGATGTCTAAGAACTTGAGTAAATACAACCAAGAAAATACCGAAACACTGAAGTCTGATGCGTCCCAACGACTGTTATAAACTTTAATTGGCTTGGATGAAACAAGGCAAAAAATAAAGATATTATTAGAAGAGATGAAAACAAAAGAGTATCCACTTCCCGCTGTGATTCTAATTACATATGATATAATTGCAATTAAAAAACTATTTCCAAACTTTGAAGGCACCAAGACACCTCATACCTTGCAGCGTACATAAATGCAGCCGCCATATACTCGGAAAGTCAAAAACTGAGATAATGTGTGAACACTGAGCTGTTGCAACTTGTTTCCAATGGAAGACGTGGTAAGAACAACGTCACGCAAGAAAGTTCTTCAATATTCCACAAGGTCTGAGTAACTGAGCAGATGGTGAAACCGCGCGAGAGTAGCTAGTGCTTTATATAAGCGGGGTGCACCTGAGGCCGGGCTGGTCTTGCAAGGTGGAGCCGTCTTCCGCGAGCCAGGAGACATGCGGCGGCGGCAGCGCGCGCGCGACGCAGTGCAGCGCGGTGCCGGCGCGCGCCGCGTACTGCACGCGCGGCGCCGGCTCCTGCAGCAGCTCCGGCGCCAGCATCGCCAGCTCCCCGCGCGCTCCTGGCGACACACCGCTTATATTTCTCTACATTTACGTGACATTGCTACCGCTCCAACTGCTAATTAACTCGTTTTGCGCGCTATTGCTATTGCTTTACATTTTGACGTTAATTTCATCTTATTTTTTTAGTCTCTGTCTTACCAATTAAATTCGTTTACTCACTTGTGCAACATTCTGGTAGTTGTTTATTGGATAAAGAGTGCTTTAAACAAGTTTAATACTAATAAACAATGGGTATACCTTGAACTCAGATTATAAAACAAAGTCAGATAGACCGCGCGGTACAATAATGTGAAGCCGGCTTGGCATGCTGTAACATCGTTTAGTTATGAAGGAGGGAGGAAACGTGCGAGTGTCGTCATTGTGAGGTCTACCCAGAGGACACGGTGGAGCATACGGTGGCGGTGTGCACTGCTTGGGCTGAGATTCGCCGTCTCCTCAGTGAAGTGATCGGCGGCGGCGACCTCACGCGCTCGGCCTTAGTCGAGGGCATAATCACAGTATAAAATATAACTGTGGCATGATGCGGAGCGAGAGGAACTGGGAAGCCGTCTCCTCTTTCTGTGAAGCAATTTTGCTCGCAAAGAAGGAGGCGGACTGCATGAGGGAGCTATCCTCCTCCTCACGTCCCAGCCGTCACAGTAAGCGACACTCCGGGCCGTACTCCGGGCGGGGCGTCGGGGGTCGATAGAGGATCTCTGGGCACCGTAAGCGCTGGGCACCGGACGGCGAGTAAGGGTAGCTCGCCGCCCGACCACAACCAGACTTGAGTATACGGCTCATAGCGTTCTGCGCGCGCCTCAAAGAGAGAACCACAGACGAGGCCCTATTGGGCTAATGTTCAGCAAAGTAGGAGAAGAAATGGTGTTTTTAGTCAGTAAGGGTTTGACATTTCCTTTGATTTTTCTCTCACAAAAAAAGACCGACCGATGTTTGTTAAGGTTTTGTGTTCCAAGTTTTCACTATAAAATTAATTACGTAAAATGATATCCAAATCTCTTTATTTTGATGTACGACGCTTCTCGACGAAGCGACGTACTGACTCGAGATTGTATGCGCTTTTGAATTTGTATTTCCCTTGTTGACTTCACTTTCGTATTCTGCACGGTTTATCTGCAGGTTTCAGGTATTAAAGCTAGCATTAAGTTTAGTTTTAAAATGTTTATTAATCAATAGTATGTGGTAATCGTTTCGTAAAAATAAGAATATTTTTAATGCACCTAACAATGTCAAAATCATTGAAGTATACCTATTTGACGCAAATTAGAGTAGTGGCATTAGAATCACACTTAAACCTATTAATGATTAAATTATTTACATATTATAATAGGTACCATACTTATAAGGTACTGTAAGGTCGTTTCCGAAGGCACATTAATTGAGTTTCCCCCTGCCTGTTTATCCGTATCTATCATATTTCCGTAGTTATTATCTACCTGTTCATTGCCACCCACACCCATAACCATCATTATATTTTTCTACCATATTCATAATAGTTCTGCATCAACCGGGGATTGTCACCATTTCCCTTATGTTAAAGTTGTTCAAAGAGCCTCTGCGAGTGGGTTTTGGCCCCTCGTACGCCTTTCAAAGGTCCGGGGGACTGTAGTCCCGTGAATGGAAGTGAACACACAAAATAATAATAAAATAGATCTGTTTCAATTCAAGACAAAACTTGGTAGTTTACGTTTCTGTAATACTATTTTATGGGATAGAGGAATCAGCGCCACCTACGTACACTTCTAGAAACAATAGATCTCAATACGCGTATTAGCTAGTGGGCGAAGACATTGCAATGTCAAACAAAAAGAAGTTTAAAAGTACTTAAGAGTCTAACGGCAAAACTTTACTTTTAAAATCGTTTGACCTAAAAAGTCGTTCCGCAGCAGTCGGGAGTTGTCGAAGGCGATAGAAGGCAGCCGGCGACGGACCGGCCGGCCGGCACTAGGTACTTTGTAAAAGTTGTGCCGTCGCCGGCGGCGGCTCCTCAAATGTATAATTATGTAAGTGAGGACCATCTCACCACTTCATCGTTACACGGAGTATTCTTTAACTCACTGTTGTGAGCGAAGCTAATCGCAGCGTCACAGCTCGCGATATTTATCAGAAGATAGATAGCCTGATGGTGAGCAATCATCGAAATATTTACGATGTTTCTTGTTTAACATGAAATTGTTTATTATTTCACAATTTTTCATGTTGTGACTAGGTGTATATGTACTTACCACTGGCCACATAGAGAGAGTACACCGCCACCAGCGTCAGCACTAACATCTCGCCGGACCCTCTGCTACGCGCTGCACCTCTTGGCTTCTGCAGAACCAAACACATATAGCTACATAGGTTATAAACAGATTGACTTTTATTCTATTTTGACGTTCCAAGACTACCTGTTCATAGTTTAGTTAAAATATTTTTTTTTACTTGACATTAATGTTCTCTAAGAATTACAAAAGTAAATCACCACTGAATCGTAGTACCAATGGTAGTTTTGTTCATTTGTGTTTGTGTTTATTTGTGAGTGAGTTCAACGCGTATAATTTCGTGTATAGATTTTGTCGTACTTCAGATTTGTACATATGTATGTATTTTAATTAAACCTTAAGTGTATATACTAAAACCAATACTATAACATATATACCTTATGCCACTTAACATGTTCTATTTGTATATATTTAATAAAGATATAAAATCAATTATAGTATCTTATTTCAAATGATTTCTATCTCAAAAAAACGTCCAACTACATAATAGAATTAAACAATATGTATTAGATGCAGGCTTGTAGCGCTACGCCGTAGCTGTGTACGCGGGCGTAGTACTTCCTCATAGAGTCTACGGCGTAGACGTTACATCTCGTCTGCTGGCATAGGTTAATTATAACCCGTTTTATTTGAATACAAATATACTATATGATACAAAGATACCTACGTAACACTAATAATTGATATCTGCTTAAAAATTTCGTAATCGGTACAAATAGAAATAAACTACGTAATGTAAGCATGGGACATTTACCATCCGATGTTGATGATTAAAAGCGTTGTGCTATATTTGATTTATTTAGAAAGAAAGTTAAATAATTATTCGGGTCATTATTGCATTGAACAAAAAAATCTATTAAAAGGTTCAAAACAGAGAAAATCAGCAAAATAATTATAGTAAAATAGACTTAAAATAAATAGTAAAACATACTACACAGTGTTGACAGACCCAAGCCAAACGGGTCGCCAATTCAGCAAAAGCTGGGCACGATGTGCACCCAACACTAATCAGTCAACAACTGTTCACTTTCAGTTTACCGAACTATATGAGTATTGTTATTGGGACTTCAAATGACTACTAAATAAATTTTTTGTTGAAAACATTTGCAAAATTAAAATGCAGAGTCAATATCTACTTAAAGTATAATTTGTTTTTGTTGATATACGGCCGTACTGCGTTCCCTGTGTTATTCATTCAGTGTCAATTACTGCGCTGCGTATGTATATTTTATATTAAGATTCATCTTACAAAACTACTGCTTTTTACACTTCTACTACGCTTTTATGTTGGGTAGACTTGGGCTTGATTGTTGACTGAACGGTTGGCGAAGTGGCTGTTCAATGGTTCAGTTCCCGCACGGGACAATACTTTGTGTCATTCAAAAATTGTTGTTTCTGGTTTGAGTGGCTTCTATTTGTAAAACCCTTATGGCAAGGAATTTGCCGAGGAAAAATAATGTCATGAAACCGGAAGTTCATATTTTTTCTTTCTCTTTTTCCATTACTTTCGTAGGTAATAACAATTAATATTTGTGTGTCTCGTAATCAACTTAAAACTCCCGGACGGATTTCGAACAGATTTCACAAATAAGTACATTGTATATTGTTTTTTCCATACCTTCTATACCAGGACAGTAAGCTAGAAGTGGATGAAAATGAAACAATAAGACACGAATCTCCTGAATTGTTGATTTCTCGGTACATAAGGGCACATCAGAGCAACAATAAACTGTGTGCAATATATTTGGGAACATGATTGTAATTGGTCAAATTTGAGTGTGGTTTTGTATTTAAAAAATTATAACACTTAATTAATTTACCCTTGTTTTGTTCCAAAATTACCACAAGTTGAACTAATCCAACACTTAGCTACGCCATTGTGCACTCAAGTAACTAACACAAGTCACTGCACTCACAACACGAGTGTTTGTTTATGAACTCGTCGTTCGGAAGTGGAAGAAATCGCGCGCGATGTCGCTCGAGCTGCAGGGGACGCCGCGCGACACGACGCGGCGCTGCCGGAGCACGGGGCCGAGTGCCGGCGAGCGGCCGCGGCGCTGCCCCCCGCCGTGCGTCTCTTCTCTCTTCTATATTGTTTATCACTAACAAAGGATTATATTATGGTATTGCTCATGATAAATTTAAATTTCCTGTGATGCCGTCTGATATCTGAAAACTTCACAACAAATAGAGGAACTAGGCGCCTCGCGGGTCGGACTAAAAATAACGAAAATTTTTGGTCGCAAACATTTTTGCCAATTTGGAAGTATGTCGCGAATCGTGTTTGAGATTATTATACATAAACCTTTATGACATAGAGTATAAAATTAAAATTAATTTGCAAAAACGAAATGTTATACTTGATAAGTAAGGTATACTTCCGTCTGCTCACTAGTAACCATATTTAAATTTAAAAAGACGGCGCGCGGCCGGCTGTTTGCGACCGCTTCAAGTATTCTCTCATTTAGCTGCAGCACTAACTAACTTAAAAAATGTAAAACGTTATCAAAATGAGAAGGGAGACGCAGGCGACGGCGCGAGAGAAGATGAGGGGCAGGGGGTGAGCAGGGGGAGGCGATTCACGCGGAGACGTCGTCCCTCGAGCGTGAAGATACCTTGATGAAAAGAAAATGAGACCGAAATGATACAGCGCAGTCACTGCACTGACGTCGCTACCACACTAGCAATTCTTTTCACAGTTTTTACGTCTTTATATAAATATTTCTATGGTTTATTTTATAATTTTAACGAGGCGCCGCGCCATGCAGCCTGGGCCTGCGCGAGGGGAGGGGGTCAGCTGTATTATCTGTTGAGGACCTTCATTTAGTTCATGGATATTAATAGTGATTACATAGTAAAGAAGTTTAGTACATTTCTGAAGTTAAATACATTTCTGAAGATTTACGTATTGTTTGTCTACATACATATCTATACTAATATTATAAAGAGGTCAAATTTGTAAGTTTGTATGTAGGGGTAATCTTACGAACCGCTGCTGGTCGGATTTTCAAAATTCTTTCACGCATAGATAGCTACAATGTTCCTGAGTGCTATAGGCTATAAAACATCACAATACGATTAAATGATCCAGCGGGTGAAACCGCGCTACCGTAGGTAGTATATACATATTATTGTTAAAATATACATAATATATATCATATGAGAAAATAATGGCAGACTTCATTTTGAAGACCTTAGATTAACACCAACAATGTAGGTATGATGTACATATTATGTATACATATATACGAGTATGTATACCTATGTCAATAATACTTGATGATAATATAAAGAGATATTTAACTCGTATTAATTTGTTGCCTCAATATTTGAAGATCCAAGTTTGAAATTCTTTGTTAGTGAGGGTTGAACTGGACTTTGGAAGTTTCTACCTTCAACATTCTGCATTTGTTTTAATGATATGTGGTGTTGGACCTACTCTGTCATCTAATATAAACTTGCGGTAATTTATAAGTACCTACATAATATCCGTTAATCACAGTTTATTAAGTACTTTACATATTTTTTATTTTTTTTTCGCTATATTTGAGCATTACTTAGATTCTGTCGCGCGGCCTACACAATACTGACAAAAGTTCATTTGTTGCCGACACAATGGGAAAGTAATCAACATGAAGACGAGCGCTGTCTCCGCGCAGTGTCTGCAGGTGGACCACTCCTCCGCCCAGACTAAAGCCACCACACAGTCTGGTGTGCGCTGCGCACGCGCGGCTCAATCTCTCTACCACTTTGTATAGTAATATATTTATTGGAGGGAAGCGACGGGCTCAATGTCGATATCTTAATGTTCTATGTAGTGTGACGCCTGACAGCCGCCACGCCAGTATGCACAGTGGATGAAGCGAACAATAACTGTATACCGTCGGCATAGCGCTGATAGCGCGTGTACAAGCAGTTACTACGAGGGTCAAACTGACAGTTCTTAGAAAATCAAAAACTGATTACATTTTTTTTAAACGTTGCCCCACATCAGGATTTTCTTCTGTTTCGTGGGGGCGGTTACAAACATACAATTTCACATACACATGACACCCAGACCCGGAACAACAATTTGTGGATCACACAAAGAGTTGTTCCGTGCGGGAATCGAACCCGCGACACGTTGCACGGCAGCCAGTTGCCCGGCCACCGCACCAACCGTGCAGTCACATTAGCCTTCGCAAAGCTTCCTGACCGCTAAATGTTTGTGGAGGATTTTGTGCACTTGACTCATACCGATGCCTAAGCTTGTCTGAATCTGCTGATAGGTCACTCTTTTGTCAGTCTTTATCATACGCAGCACCACACAGATGTCATCTTCAGTAGTCACCGTAGAAGGCCGTCCCTCACGTAAATCATCAGTGAGATTAGTGTGACCACGTTTAAACTCATTAAACCAGTTGTAAACAGTCGCACTAGAGGGCGCTTCATCGTGAAAGGCCAATCGTAGTCTATCATAACTTTTTTGTTGACTTAAATGACATCGAAAGTCATAAAAAATCATAGCACGAAAATTTTCTCGTGTTAAATTCATGTTGACGTGACACAGACAATTTTCAATTTGCCGCCAAATAGTAAAACAAATGACAAATGAATGATATATAGTATATACTCAGTAATATTGGCAAACAGTTCTATTTTCAAATTTTACAATTATTTTTTTATTATATTGTTTATAAGTCCAGGCCAGTTCTAAGAACTTTCAGTTCGACCCTCGTATGTCATGGTAAATCAGTTAGAGATCACCCGGGCCCCTCGTAAAAGTTAATCTAGACCTAAGGCCTGACTGACTCTGATGTCACATTAACGACATTCCGTGATCTCCTCTACCCCTCCACCCACGTGGTCCCCCGCAGATACCTGCGGGAAATGAGAAAACTTGAAGCTTTCTAGGTGTCCACTGACTTACATTTATTTATTGAACGACCTTTAGGCGACTTTTGTGTTTCCCTGTACAACTGTAAAAACTTTGATGTCTCTAGCGTAACATTTTTGAGAATATTATGTTTCACTTCCCTGTACTTGCTCGGATACACCGAGACCGGGGTCCGCCAGCTACACACCGGT